GTCTGTATGCCTAGTGCGTGTCTGTATGCCTAGTGCGTGTCTGTATGCCTAGTGCCTGTCTGTATGCCTAGTGCGTGTCTGTATGCCTAGTGCGTGTCTGTATGCCTAGTGCCTGTCTGTATGCTGAGTGTGCTGTTCGTCATCCTCAGTATCCCATCTGTGGAGGACTCAAGGCGCTAATTTCTAGGTTCTGACCGACCTTTAATTGGTGCGGTAACTAGAGACCTATTTGGTGCTATCAATACTACTAATAGAGATTCAATACAGCTTGAGTTACTATTTATTTGTCAAGCGTTCTCATCAATTTGGTAAACTTTTTAATCCAAGTGCATCTGCTGTAACGAGGGTATTTTACGATCTATTATATGTATATCAGTCAAACTTTCAAGTGCGAGTTTACATCTAGCTTTGGTTTTGACATAAAGTGTTCTTCAGTTCATCGACATACTAAGTTAAAATACTATGTTCATTTAAGCCTGAGCTACGTGTTCATCTTAAACCCTAGCTTAGCCAAATCTATATCGCAGATGGTCGAGGGAGCGATGTTGTTGTTGTTGTAATTGCCCATCCTGGTAGTGACAACTAGGTAAGGGAGGGGGTGATAGGTCAGTTTTTCCGGGCACTTGGTGCCACTGGTAGTTCCACGACCATCACTGGCTCGCTGACCCGCCAGAACCATTTTATTGCATTACACAACACCCTGGACAAGCCAGGTACTCATTTATCAACCAGAGTTGGATGAATGGCTGAGTTGACCATGAGCTGAGCTTCCCGGAAGAACTTGTCCTCAGTGGGACTCGAACCCGGGAGCTGGGTGCGAGAGACTATATAAGTCTCTCACCGAGGGAGCGATCTCGAAGATCACGATTTTGTCCAACTTTGACGACCATTTAAGCAATCGAGTTATTCTAATTATTGTTTGGAAAGATGGAGAGACTTCATGAACTTGATTTGTTTGTGCTGCTGGTTTTCGGGGCTTCCATTTCACTACTTGGAAAAGCAATGTTTATAATTAATAAAATCGAAGAGTTGTTATTAATTTCAAATCAGAAGCAAGAATCTAAAAGTGACGTTCTCTGTGTAGACTGAACTAAAAAATTGAATGAGCCATATCTCTAAATTTTTCGTTAATGTTTTAATCAAGTTGAGTTACTTTAGCGCCAGCCTTTGTTGTATATGATGATGACGTAACATCATTTGCATCATTTTGCTCACCTACCCAATGTTGTCTGTTCGACGTATCACACTTTATTTCTACATTGACTTTGAGACAAGTGTCACATTTGTGGTTTTGGTTTTGGCAAACGAGTATTGGCGATTGGCAATTATGGCTGTTTTAATTTGTTTATTGTGCCCTGAACTTGGAAAGTGTTAATTTTTTCGCCAATAAGGGGCTTGGTTCTGGTAGCCTTATACCCTTTGAACAAAATTGTCGCCACAATTTGCAATAAAGTCTAAGTTTATCATCAGGGTTTTTATTTCCTTTCATTTGTAAATGTTTAATTTGTTTGCTTTAAAGCATTAACGTTATGGAGACTCTCATTTGACCCCCGATGCAACGTGAATGTTATTGAGGTTGTCTTTCTTAATTGACGCTTACTACGAAGGTTAATGTATTTGTTGAGAAAAAAGTGGTATGTAAACCACGAAGCAAGTTCTTGTTTTACACATTGTATATTTTTGGTATTATAAAGTTGAATTCGTACTTAAAAAGTTGATTAAATTTGCGCGTGGGCTTAAACCCCCGAACTGTTCTTGGAGTTAGGGACTGAAGCGCTATTGTTCAACATTACTCACTAATTATCTTGGGAGGATTTGTAATATATTTCACATCACGAGTACCGCAGGGGACAAGAGGACCGCACCCTCTTGTTAGGGGAAGATCAGGGCTTCCTCCGGTTCCCGTGACCCTGTCCTGAGAAGGCATCATTTCTATGCCACGAAAGCAACTACGTTGTTGATCGCTGCCTCTAGAGACCCTCGTCTTCCTTACCTCACAGGAGAAACGATAGTCTTTCATCGCTGCCTCTAGAGACCATCGTCTTTCTTACCTCTCAGGAGAAACAATACAGTCTTTCATCGCTGCCTCTAGAGACCATCGTCTTCCTTACCTCTCAGGAGAAACAATACAGTCTTTCATCGCTGCCTCTAGAGACCATCGTCTTTCTTACCTCACAGGAGAAACAATACAGTCTTTCATCGCTGTCTGTTGACCCACTAACCATTGCCTCATCTCCTATTTGGAAGGGCCACCTCACTCATTCATCCTGGTTGCAAAGATCCTACCAGAAATTCCCAGATGGGACAATTAATTTGTCTCATTCCATCTCATTTTCACGCCGCGACGGATCCTTTGTCAGTTTTTTGTACGTTTGATCATATCGATTACTTGATCAACTTCTAATCCTTCGTTATATTTCCTGCAACTGTTCTCCTTGCTAAATGTGACCGTTGTGCTAATACTTGTCACGTGGGGGAAATTGAACGGTATACTCTACATTACTTTTTAACTCTTTGGTAATAAAGATGAAAGCGATTATTTCTTGTTTGCTTGTCAATTATTCTTGTAGAAAGTAAAGGGATAGTAAAGAGATACGTAGGTTTTTATAAGATAAAGTCATGGCGACTGCCCTGGTGAGTGATATGTACACGGCGGCAGAGCAGCGCGCGGCCAGCGTCACGGCCGTCGAGGAGAGGTTCATCAGCCAGGCAATGGCGAGTCCGCTCTAGCCTGTATGAGTAGTTATACGTGGTAAATGATTTATGATTAATACTTATTAGTCTTCATACATCCTCAGAATGTGTAATATAGATATATGGTTATGCAAAGATTCTATTTACTTTTAACGGAAATCTGCTAGAAAATACTTTGTAAGTGAATTCATTAATAATTCATTCATATATTGTCGTAGGCAAATAAATTCATTAAATTACTATGCTAGACTAGGCATTGATCAACAGAAGCATCTGATAATTTTTGTTCCCGCCTGCCTCGAAATAATTATTTTTACTGCTTATAAAACTCTCAATTCCCCGATATCTCATGTTCAGGTTGTGCTGGGATAATGTCGCGGCCTCATTGCTGGGTCGGAGAATGAAATACAGATTTCTTAGTCTTACTGTACTTCTTGTATTCGGTCCATCTTCACATGACTGAATATAAGAAGTACAGTAAGACTAAGAAATCTGTATTTCATTCACCGACCCGTCTGCAGCCTCTGGCATTGAGGCCGCGACACAGGTGCACGATCACATTCCACACCTCATATTTTACGTTACTCATTATCGTGTGAATTTGCAGAAAATTATATATAAGTCAAATACATTAATTGTTTCATCTTTGTTTTCATTCATGGTAAATCTCGAATGGCCTACTTAATCACAGTTACGGTAATGAGTGTTGTTTTGTATCTGCTAGGGTCGCGGCCTGTTCGCCACGCGGCAGTTCAGGGAAGATGATCTCATCTTCGAAGAGACGCCGGTCGTGTCGTGCCAGTTCGTGTACAACAAGGAGTACGGCTACCGTGCGTGCGACCAGTGCCTGAGGTGAGCAGTGATCGTGTCGTGCCAGTTCGTGTACAACAAGGAGTACGGCTACCGTGCGTGCGACCAGTGCCTGAGGTGAGCAGTGATCGTGTCGTGCCAGTTCGTGTACAACAAGGAGTACGGCTACCGTGCGTGCCTACAGCTACGTACCGTGCATTAGGTGAAGGTCAAACAACGCGATCCAGAAGTATGTTAAATAAACGCATGTGATACGCTGCCAAATTGTGCCTGTCACGCGCTTATGTTGTACGCATATGATGCTCAAATGCGTAGTTTAATACGCAGCTTAAATGTGTGTGTCTGAAACTTGTATATGATATGCTACAAAGATGTGCTGGACACACGATCTTGAATGTATTTGCTATTTGAATACACTAGAAATTGAGTAAAACTTCATTTTGTACATTCAGTGACAGTATGCGTATTAAAATAAGTCTGTTATAGACGGATAAAGGAAAGTTAAATCGGTATTTCACATGAATATCCTGTGCGATATCGCTGCATGCTTTCCACTTTTGAAAGTGAAGCCGCTACCAGCAACCATATTCTCATGGTTCCGTTTTTTTTAACACTTGAAATTTCCTTCTCTGGTTCTCGCAGTTTTTGTACAGAGGCTAGTTTGCCAACATCACAGCTCAACAGTCGAAACAAAAGAGCTATATATTTTCATTGATTTTAATATTATTTTCTCAGTTAGCGGCTTAGCGTATTATGAACATAGTAAACCTTGCTGCTATTGCCGTGACCAGGTCTCTGGAGACCGCTGAGTGCAACGTGCGAAGGCTCTGCCAGGAGCCGCTGTTAGTGCTGCCACACCCAGAGTGTGCTGACACAGCTCTGCCAGCAGTGCTGCTCTGTCCTGGCTGTCAGGTATGGCGCTGACACAGCTCTGCCAGCAGTGCTGCTCTGTCCTGGCTGTCAGGTTTGCTACACTAACTTCGAACACAATTTTTCCCACCATCGACATTATGAATTAAATAAGTACTAACCTCTAAACCTCTTCTACCATCATTCCTACTATTTCATTCTTCCTACCTCCTTCACCAGAACTTCTTCTAATATTGCTCCACCATCCTCACACCACACTTTGCTCCACCATCGCACCATCACTCCACCGTAACCAGCACCCGGCCTGAATGTAATTCAAGGAATAACTGTTCATATATTCAACATCGGTCCAGCCTGGTTACTTGATCACTTCCTAAATATTGACTACATATAAGAGGGAAAAATCTAATGTAAAAATTTTGATTTGTGCATTTGTTGTTGAATGGCATGCTGCCTCCTGTAGGCGGAGTACTGCAGCGAGGAGTGCCGCAGGGAGGCGTGGCAGCAGCACCACCAGCTGCTGTGCTACGCGCCCTCACACAGCGACCACCCCCTGACACGCTTACTAGTAGAGTGGAAGTGAGTCATCAGCAATGCCTGCACTCTAACTAATTATTGGGTTGTATTGTTCAAATGTTGGCGCAGTGTTGACAAATGTTGATTGTTGATTGTTGAAATGTTAACAATGAAACTCTTTCGCCGGGACATGCTGGTCAGGGTGACCCACACAAGCGCAAAAATTGCATCGCTATTTGCATTTAGTTTTCTCGTTTCTTTGACTGTGTCTTATTGGACCTAATATATAATTGATAATTTATTTTAAATTAATAAAATGTTGATGATGAAGCTGCCTATGTGTTTATTGGTGGCAGTTCATAACCTTCAGCGTTGCCCACCTTTGATAGTTGTCTTGCCGACCCTTTGTTTATGGATTCATTAACGGCCTCCAATGCTAAGCCTTTGATATTTGTTTCATCGACTAATCTTTCAACTGTTTTATGTTGCGTGGATTTTTCGTGGCTGTGCTCTATTAATCGAATTTTTACCTCGATTAATCGGCCAGATATATCTTTTTAAGAATCAATATCTCGGGTGGCTAGGTTCCTGATGGCCGAGATCAGCTATTGTCTGGGGCCCAGACTTCAGCATTGCTGCCGTCTTATTCAATCCATCAAGGGTTTCTGCTATATTGAACTCACGTCTGCGGTAGAATTTATTGAGATCTCCACTTATGCATTCAAGTCCAACCTTACTCATTCAAGTTGTCACTTACGCATTCAAGTCCAACCTTACTCATTCAAGTTGTCACTTACGCATTCAAGTTGTCACTTACTCATTCAAGTTGTCACTTACTCATTCAAGTCCAACCTTACTCATTCAAGTTGTCACTTGCGCATTCAAGTTGTCACTTACGCATTCAAGTTGTCACTTACGCATTCAACTCCAACCTTACTCATTCAAGTTGTCACTTACGCATTCAAGTGCCACATTACTCATTCAAGTTGTCACTTACGTATTCAAGTTGTCACTTACGCATTCAAGTTGTCACTTACGCATTCAAGTTGTCACTTACGCATTCAAGTTGTCACTTACGCATTCAAATGTATCCAACGTCCCGCAGACAACATCACTACCCACCTGAGACGCTAAGCATCCTGCTGCTGGCACGTCTGCTGGCAGGAGTTCTTCTCAGTCCCGATGCTGTCACCGCGAGCGCGTCTCTGGCACGGTTCTGCCACGCGTCTGTCAGCGCCAGGGACGCCGCGTCGCACAAGCTCCTCGGCCCTGAGTTCGTCCAACACATTCATGCCCTCAGGACCCTCATGGCTGAGGTCTTCCCGGACCCTCGTCTTGCCGAGGTACAAAACTTTTGGCGTTTTTAACTTTATTTAAACTTGATTCATTTGGTTGATAACTTTTTTTACGAAACTTTTTCTTATGACGTTTTAAACTTTATTTAAACTTGATTCGTTTGATTGTTAACTTGTTTGTACATTTTTTTTTCCTTTTGGCGTTTTTAACTTTATTTAAACTTGATTCGTTTGGTTGATAACTTTTTTAAGTCGTAGATAATTTTTTTAAGATACTTGCACAGCGCAGTGCAAGTGATAAATGTAATTTGGTAATTATATATAAATGTGAATGGTAATTGAATAAAGTAAGGATTAATTGTGAGTCCGACTGTCTATTTTATGAGAAATCAAGATGATTTCTTGCGGAGAACGATGCGACAAGAAAATAATAATGATTGATGTGATATTTATAAGTAATTTTATAACATTGATTAATTTGATGATAACGACTAATATGATAATAATGATTAATTTGATGATAATGACCAATTTGATAATTATTAATTTGATGATAAATATTACTTTGATGATAACGATTAGTATTATAATAATGACTAATTTGATGATAATGATTTCATTATCTAGTCATTATCACCTGACTAATCAGGTGATAATGACTAGTATGATGATAATAATTAATTTGATGATAATGATTAATTAGGTGATTATGACTAATTTGAAGATAAAGACTAATTTTACGCTACTGCTATAATAACGCAGTGGATGTCAGAGGAAGGCTTCAAGTCGCTGCTGGCGCTGGTGGGGAGCAACGGGCAGGGCGTGGCGAGCTCCCCCCTGGCGCGGTGGGTGACGCGGTGCGACGACCTCCCTCTCAAGGGGCAGGACCGTGACCAGCTCGACGCCTTCATTGACAACCTCTACGAGAAACTCGACTCCAGTTAGTTCTTTGCGCATTTTCTTATTTATGAGAAAACGCGCTGTTGTGCTCGTCATGTCCGTCCGTCCGTCTGTCTGTCTGTCTGTCTGTCTGTCTGTCCGTCTGTCCTCCTGTCTGTCTGTCTGTCTGTCCTCCTGTCTGTCTGTCCTCCTGTCTGTCTGTCCTCCTGTCTGTCTGTCCTCCTGTCTGTCTGTCCTCCTGTCTGTATGTCAGTCTGTTCGTCTGACTGTCCGTCTATCCGTCCGTGACTTTTCGTCGTTTTTGTCTTGTCAACGTTTTCGTCGACGAGAAAATGCGCTCGCTGTCACTCACTGCATTGAGTTATATTTGCGCTCTCTGTCACTGAATTATATTCTTTTTATTAATTGGTTGAAGATGTCAGAAGTATACTTGCCGAGCTCCGTCCATGAAAACTTAAGTGAGTGTTGGGTTACTGTGATATGGATGCAGCGTATTTGGCTGTGCAATCATAATAAATAACCTATAAGTATCAATTGCATGTTTAAAGCCCACTTGGAAAGCTGAGTTAATTTATTTTAGTAAGATTTTATTTATTTTATTAAGAGTTAGTTTCTCAGATGAAATTTTTTAGTTAATAACTGGAACAGAATTAATTTTTGAAAATTCCGACTTCAGCTCGATATCAGAAGTCCCTTGTGTATCTCAGATGTTCCCGATCGCCTCTACAAGTAATGCAGTGTCCCTACTTTTTTCTGTACACTGAGTGATATTCGTACTTCATTCGATGGTATTTTTAATGGACTTATTGTGTATTGCAGTACATCGTACAGTGGAGGATGACTTATCATCACTCTCAGTTCTAGAGTATTTCAATGAAATGGTAGTGGCACAAAATGTTGCCACCAATTTTCCAAATTTACGTCTATTGTGAGTTTTTTAGTACGTGGACTATATATTGCGTTCGCGCTACAAAACACTATTCGTAGATCGAAATAAAACTGGTTTAAAGCTGCCGGTTCTTTTTGAAGGAGTCATTGCAATAATGCAGTGTGAAAGTTATTGAGAACTTGCTAGTTCTCAAATGCTGTTTCAATGTTTGTTCCATGGGCTGGGCTTCCATTGTACATGCAATTTCTCTGACTTGGTACTTTATAAAGGCTTTAACGTATAGTTTGTAATTGCAATAACATTGAAGTATAATTTGTAATTGTCAGCCGTTGGGACGTTCCTGAACACGGAGGGCTCAGGTTTATACAGACTGCAGAGCCTCCTCAACCACAGCTGCCGTCCCAACGCCATCGTCACCTTCCCCCACAACTCCCACACCCTGCAGGTCAGTGCAGAACCTTCTCCCACAACTCCCACACCCTGCAGGTCAGTGCAGCACCTTCCCCCACAACTCCCACACCCTGCAGGTCAGTGCAGCACCTTCCCCCACAACTCCCACACCCTGCAGGTCAGTGCAGCACATTCCCCCACAACTCCCACACCCTGCAGGTCAGTGCAGCACCTTCCCCCACAACTCCCACACCCTGCAGGTCAGTGCAGCACCTTCCCCCACAACTCCCACACCTTGCAGGTCAGTGCGGAACCTACCCCACAACTCCTACACCTTGCAGGCCAATACAGCACCTTCTTCGCCCAGTTAAATGCTAGTAACTTGGTGGCTGTTTGCCCAGTTGAACAGGTCGTATTCATGAGTGTAATGTTGGTATCAACGCGCAGGTGCGTGCGGTGCGGGACATCGCCCCCGGGCAGCCGGTGTTCATCAGTTACCTCGACGACTGCACCCTCGCCAGGAGCCGACACTCGCGCCGCAAGACCCTCAGGTCACTCACGCTTATTTTACTCAATTAGGATCACTTGCTTGGAATTAGACTTGATCCACACCATAGCACCAGGCACGGTCAAGTATAGTATACTTCAGTGCATTTCTATGGAAGCCTTGGCACCGTGCAAGGCACCTGCCTTGGCCGTCACATCGTCACGCCTTGCACGGTGCCTTGGCACCGTGCAAGGCGCTAGGCGCGGTTGAGCCACCATCAAGACAACTGATATCTTGACAGGAACGTGACTGGCACGGCCTTTATTAACACGTTGACTACGATTGCTTCATCTTGTACTATTATTTCATTTTTGTACTTTTTTTAAGCAGGGTTGCCAGAAGGTCATTTTTTCCGGACAAATTCCGTGAATTAGTTTTTCTCAATTGCGTTGGCCGGCTAAAATTTATGATAGGGGTACTTCCTAATTAAATTTTAAATACTGCAAAAAGAAAATAAATGGAATTTTTATAGCGGAACCTACAAATAAACTATTATACATTGAATTATCGGCCTTTTTTGGCCTTTTTTGTTCTCGGATTTGGCCAATTTTAGGAAAATATATATTGAATTATCGGCCTTTTTTGGCCTTTTTTGTTCTCGGATTTGGCCTATTTTAGGCAACCTGAATTATGTACCACTACCTCCTGGAGAAATACATTTCGTGGTACGCATATGTACCAATACGTAGTCAACGTGTTAAAGCGAACTGAACGGAAGGAACTGAAGGGAGGATGTCCCGTGATCGAAGTGAACATGTAGAGGCACCTGGCAGGGAAGGGGGGCCGTGCCCGGCAGTGTAGTGTAAAAGGTTTCTTAGTCGCGTTCAGTTAATTTTGGTTATTACTCATGTTGAGTGGGTATCACTCGCGACTCGTGATTTGTCGGTACTACGCATTAATATTTTTATAAACTTTACTCGTTAATCATGTTCAAGGAATATAACTGATTCCTTAGTATCCTTAGTATTTGTTTGGGACATAGCAGTCCCAGGCCACGATGGATCGCCGCCTCTGATTATCGTTCATCCGCCCTCATTTGGGCCACCTGATGCACGATGCTGTTGCTTGCTTCTCGCCGCTGGTAGTGTTGCAGGGGAGGTCGATCTGGGATTGTGCTCAGAAACACGTCTAGCTGTCTCTTGAAGGTCTCCATAACGCTTTCGCGAAGTCCAAATACACCACGTCCACCCCGGCCCCCTCCTCCAGCATGGCCAGGATTTGGTGGTGATGCTCCAGTAAATGAGATAAACAGGAACGATTTCGTCTAAAACCGTGTTGCCTTCTGTTGAAAAGGTCAGCGTCTTCCATGTACTGCACCAACCTTCTGGCAACAACCTTCTCAAATACTTTGATTACGTGTGATGTTAATGTAACCGGCCTGTAATTTTGGGGTTTTTCTCTTGCGCCTCCTTTGTAGATAGGGGTAATTAGCCCTAATTTAGGTCACTTGGGACATTTCCTTCTCTCAATTACTCATGTTTAGGGGATGTTCAGTAGACCAAGTGATTAGATTGCTCAAGACTTTATTGCTATATGATTTATTATATTACATTAATCGTAACACATTTGCCTTTTAGCTCACGTTCTAATTAGCCTTCATCTTGCAGGTGTGGTGAGCTGCAAACCTCAAAATAAAATAAGATGTTTGTTTCCTTCTTCCTAGGGAGAACTACGTGTTTGCCTGCGCCTGTGAGAGGTGCGACGACGAGACCATCCAGCCTGACGTCACCAGTGACGAAGACATGGATGATGATGAGCAGTGACGAAGACATGGATGATGATGAGCAGTGACGAAGACATGGATGACGAGGATGCTGCTCTCCAATAAACTCTGATTGGCTTTCGTCTGGTTTTATTCCCGTTCCTCGTCTTTATAGACCAAATATAACGAAATGGTCACGAGTTCAGTTCTACATAACGTGCTGATTCAGATCATATTTTTGTTCAAAACTCTGTTGAAAAAAATAATAAGAGAAAAAATGTCTGTGAGTGTCCATTCTTGTAAAGTTACCATTGTAGCGTATTGAAACGCTGCGTTGTAATGCTTCGAATTATTTACCGTTGAATGAAGTAATAATAAGTTTGGTTACGTGTCTGAATGCTGCTTCGTGGTTAATGACGCGCTCCGAGTATGAACGCGTTGAAGAACAGACTAGATAAAGCCATGGTTGAATTAATACAAATAATATATATTCATTCAACCATGAGATAAAGCTATTGAAAAATATATGTTCAGATTTGAAATGCCTAGCACCATATCGAACCCTGGTGGAAGTCTAGTAGCTATTTCAAACTATCGTCAGTCTTGAAATATCCGGTCAAATGACAAGATTTTAGATCTTCTGTGAATAAGGCACGAAAAGTTCAAGATTCGGCGACAGGCCACATCAGGCCTACTCTTTAGCGCCGACATACCTATGTTATGTTATGTTACATGCTTTTTAAAAATAATACGCGATGCGAGCAGACAGCGAGCTCATTGGTTGTATTTAAAAGTCGTAAAAATTCGTAAAACTTTTACAAAATCAGAAAAGACGTACACTTTTTACGACAAATCAACAGTACTGAATACGCAAAAAAAATGAAAAATTCAATGACGTTTGATTGTTTCGATCTAGGTGAAAGTTACGACAAAAATGTAACGCTTGGGAAATAACTCTACGTAATGTGAGTTCGGCAAATCCCGTAATATAAGCAATATAATTCTGATTTACAAATCAAATATATATTGTAGATTTTTATATGGGATTGAAATGTTGAAATGTGATACATTTGTCGCAGCAGCGCTATGCATGCGCCACTTGCTTGTAGAAAGCGGACTTCTCAGTCACTCAGAGCGTAAGAAAACGAATTAAACGATCAGTGCCTGTCTTGACGCGGAAGGAGGAGGTGTATCAATGACGATGCTCGCTGTGAGCCTTGAGCAATATTTGCCTCGTCAAAGAAAGAATGTGATTATGTGAACGCTCTGGAATGAGTTTGGATGGTCACAATTCAAAGCAAAATATTTAAATTTACTTCTGAAAAATATCAGAAAATCTGAGATGATGTCATTATTCGTAAAAGTAATGCTCACTTTGAATTTACTAGTCGTGCTTGGTGAGTGTGGACTGTGGAGTAGCATTGTTTTCTCAGACTAACCTTGTGATCTTGTTTAAAGTTAATTTATGTCGAACGTGATCCCTGAGATCTATTGTCTCTTTCTTGTAGTGTTGTGCTCCAGAGATGGTATTGTCACAAATTGTCTCAAGATGCTGCTCGATATTTCATAGACGGGACTCGGTAACCTTGATGTTTGGTAGGAATTTACAGGCGCATAGGTCAGCTGTATTGCGGCTTGTAGCCTAGTTGTACGTTTTAAAATTATTGTGCTGCTTGCGCGTTGTACGACTTTATAGCTGTCATGTTGTACCCTGAAATTAACAGGCTCACTTAAAATACACCATATACTTTTTTATTAAAATGAGGTAAAACCTGGATTTCATGCTCCGATCCAATTCAAGTTTGGAAACCATTACTAGCCATTATTATTATAATGGTTGCTTCACAATTCGTTTTTTTAATTATATTGCTAACTTTTGACATTTTTTCAAACTTTTTTCACTAACTCAAATATTTATGAAATTAATTTGTTAGTAATCATCAATATTACTCTGAGGTAATAACCTTAACTTTCACTTTATAACTTTACGATTTGGTAGATTAAACTTTTATATTAAATCCTCTTGATAGTTACTTTTTGTTTGAAAATAAATTCATTCTATCGAATTGTTATCGATTTGCCTATATTTTCAGGCGCATTTGGGACGGTTGGGTTGACGCGTGCAACGGACCACACGAGGGACCCATCTCACTCTGACCTGCCAGGCGTGGGTGCGGCAGCGACCGCACCTGTTCTTGACGAAGCCAATGCTGAAGAAATTACTGACACACATGGCCAATCAGCAGCCAATGCTGAAGCACTGCCGTTGCCGGCACCCCTAGTGATGCTTTACAGCACTTTCAGCTGGGGCGGAGTGAGTGGCAACGTCACATTCTCGCACAAGCAGCGCCCTGACGGCACAAACGCAACGTTGTTGGAGGTGTTGGTCGAGCTGCCTGACGTAGCGCGAACCTTCCTCGAGCCTCTGGAGCTCAAGTGGGCTGTGCATGAGTGGCCAGTTAGGTACGACAACAGCGACCGCTGCGGTGGAGAACAGATTGGCAAAATGTGAGTTCTTGTAACTTTAGTGTAAAAATACAATTCATTAACGATAAAGAGTTGACTGTTTTAAGTAATCAATTATCTATCATATGAACCTGTATTATGCCGTCCGATAATGGGAAATTTCGAGTCCATGCATCCAATTTATAATCTCGATCTGGTGAAATTAACTTTTGTTTTCTACGTGATTATTACGCTGGGGTTTTCTTATTACCTGCTATTATTTTTATTTCAGGTTAATAGACCTGACCTCGAGCCTGGGCTCCATCACACTGCCGATGGACGGGCCTGCGGTCTTCGAGACCGAAGACGTGGCCATCTTCGGGCCGGACTCCGTGTGGAGTCGCTCTATCGTCTTCAAGGGACCTGGCGTAACGTCGTGCTCCAACATCCACGTGAGGCACAACTTATCGTGCTCCATTCTCATCTCTTAGGGGTTAACCGGCGAACAATGTTAAGATATTCTCATTTATTAGCCATTATACCAGAGCACTTCATCAGCCATTATACCAGCGAACTTCATCAGCCATTATACCAGCGCACTTCATCAACCATTATACCAGAGCACTTCATCAGCCATTATACCAGCGCACTTCATCAGCCATTATACCAGCGCACTTCCATTACTCATGGCCCGCGCACTACACAGGGAGTTGGAGGTGAAGAGACGTACGAAGCAAGGTTTTACATCCCTCTGGGGGGCTCCATATGGATTAGGACCTGGCAGTGGAAGCTGGAGAGCCCTCCTTCAGGAGATTCAGGCCTCCTGGTGGAGACCTCGGGCTACCAGGTGGTCATCTTCTCGGACGTGTTCAACACCATCGACGACGAGGCCGAGACCTCCGACCACGACTGGGTCATCTACATTACTGACATTCTCGACTCTCGAGGTGCCGTGTTACTCTAAACATATTAACTCGTTAAATGCAATGTAAACACGGGAAGAAATTACTCAAATTAATTAAATTATTACATTCCTGCATCAAGAATTCACTAAAGGTGAGCATTGCGCGTTTTCGGACGAGCCTCTTAATTTTGTTGAGATCGAAGAATAGTTGAATAATCGTGAGGAGATAAATCTTCCTCAGTTTAGTTAATTTTAAAATATTCATTTAATTACTACCTTCATCATCTTTAAACAAGTAACCTGTTGTCCAGTCAAATATAAGTCTCCATTACTTTCATTATTGATGTATGGAAAGTATTCATTTCAATTTAATATTGAGAGTATTAACATATAATTTTATTTCTTATGACAGACTACGGGGTGACGTGCAACCACCTGACGAGGGTGTACGACCCTGCGGGCAAGGAGACGTGTGACGACGAGGGCTGCCCTCAGGGCATGCTGGGCAAGCGCCACGGTACCCTCAGGGTGTCACCTCGCAGGTCCATACATGAGCATTTCTTCATGTTGATCAATTCGATGTTTTAGAAGAATTTTTCGAATTGCATTTTTCCCTCAGATTTTATGATTTTCAGGAATCAATGAATTTTTTTATGATGTTAGAGTGAAATGTTTATCGATGTACAGTATGCAATACCGGTAGTCAAGTAACTTATCGAACGACGCTGTCTAACCATACATTTAATATAATACCATTTTTATTGGAGATTTTTTGTAACTTTTGTTTTTTATCTCTATTTAAGAACTTGCTCAGCAACTCCTCTCAACAACAACTTTCTTCTTCCCTTAACTAAAGTCATTTTCGTTGACCAGGTCGCGATTTTCGAAGAAGTTGTACGTGAGCACAGACCTGCAGATAACGGACCTGTCGGGCCCGCGCGAGGTGTTCATTGGCGTGATGGACGTCACTCACCCCGACCACATCTGGGGCTGCGCTAAGATGCGCAGGCTGCGAGTCAAGGCGGTCAGCGCCCTCTTCAACAGTGATGGCGTCCAGGGCAAAATAACCATCCAACAAGCGTCTCCTTTTGCCCCAAGCGATCTGACGCTCAGTCTTGCGGGATTAAACGGCCGCGCTGAGGAATTTCATGTCCATCAAATGCCCTTCACGGCACCCCAACACAAAGGGCACAATGTTTGCCTTCAAACTCTGGCTCAATATAACCCCTATAAAGTGCAGCCAGGGTCTGAACCGAAGCCCGGTCTTGGGACCCATGACCAATACGGGGTGGGCGACCTGAGTGGTAAACATGGCCTCTTAACTCAGGTTGAGAACTTAGAGGCCACAGTAACTGATTATAATTTGCCGATATTCGGGCCCAGGTCGGTGGTGGGTCGGTCTATCGTCATCAAGAAATCCGACAACTCGACATGGGTTTGTGGCAATTTACGCAGCAGGCGCCCCGTGATTCGTGCTGCGGTGGTCTTCAGATATCCCATCGTGGGCGAGATCATGATGGAACAGGACGCCGAGGATCCCTTCGAGGACACGACTCTGTTCGTGGGGCCTCTCGTGTACTCAGACGGCAACCACAACACGACGGGGGAACACGAGTTCCGCATCCACAAGGACCCGCCGGGTCGGGACTTCTACAACTGGACGGGTCGATGTGTGTCTGCTGGTCCTCGCTTCAACCCTTACCACGTCAGTACCCTTCTCAACCGCAGCCAACTTTTGAAAATTATACTATGTCAACATTCCTGGTGCAAAAAGTACACCCGGCCTGTCAAATGTAAACTTAATCGATTATCTGAGTGGGATCATAGTCCGAATTATGAAGACGGTAGGATCTTTTAAGTCGTTCAGTATCACCGTTTTTGAACTACCGTCATAGAGTTGAGCTGCGATGCGGGCTCTTCGCTGTTGTACTGCATTAAATGCACATTGCGAATAAAACGAAATTATTTTCGTTTTATACATCTTGAAATGAGCTGCTCAGACACGACTGTTATGTAGGCCTAATGTTTGTCTCCTACTATGAAAACCAGGAAGACAAGACTTGATATCATTTTTGGCGTTTAATTCGAGATTCATTGTAAATACTGGAGTGCAAAATTGATTGTATATAATTAGCGTCTTTATCCGTCAATGATTCTGTTCATATTCATGGATGAATACCAAAATAATCGATTTATGTAATAATCAATGGCATCAACTCTCTACTCTAATTTAGTCTCTGGTAAAGTGGACCCATATAACTTCTGTTCACTGTATGTTAATTGTTATCGGTTACCGGCAAACGAGCTATTTTCGCAACAAATAGAACCGATTATATGTTCACGAAACGAAGAAAAATAACTAGATTTGTAGGGATTAGCTTTGAGAAACTAATACTATTATTTGTACATTGATAATATAATTTGTGTATGTTAGCATCATTTAGATGATGTCAGCTTGTTAGCATTAATCGAATTGTATCGTTCATCATATTCAGCGCCATTATTCCCCCCTGCCCGCAGGTGTCGGTGGCGGCGAAGGCGTACGAAGACTGCGGGCCCGACATGGCGGAGAAGTGCGAGTTGGGTGACCTGGTGGGGCGCAACGGCCCCCTACAGCTGGCGGGGACCATCCAGCGGGCGGACGTGTCGAGACTCGTCTTGACGGACACCAACCTGCCGCTGCAAGGCCGCTTCTCCATCATCGGCCACTCCATCGTCATCAGTGATAAACACGCGCCCGAACATCGGGGGCAGCGCATGGCCTGCACCAAGTAAGTCCCTCATATTCGAGTGATAAATCGAGCCCGTATTTGTGTAGTTTTTCGATTAGACATCGTGATGTGTAATCTTGTAATGGTCTCACCATCCAATTCTTCCACTAGTGTGTAATTTAACAGGTATATCCACAGTTTGCGCATAGATAAGAATCACGTTTCCTGACAGTGCACATTTTTTAAGGTTTGATCATTACCAGAGAGAATCTTCCACTGATAGGATAATAATTAATGCGTTGCTGACGAATGCCACCAGAGTGTTCCGACGGTACCGACACAAGGGCGTGGTGAACGCGTGGTCGTCGACGCCCGGCGTGGGCAACCTGCAGGGTAAGATAGAGTTCATCCAGGAGACGCCGTACGACATCACCAACACCGAGGTCAACCTCAGCGGCCTCCAGGGACTCGCCAAGAAATACCACGTGCACATGGTGAGTTGGAGCGTTGTGGGTGAGTTGGAGCGTTGTGGGTGAGTTAGAGTGTTGTGGGTGAGTTAGAGCGTTGTGGGTGAGTTAGGGCGTGGTGGGTGAGTTAGAGCGTTGTGGGTGAGTTAGGGCGTTGTGGGTGAGTTAGAGCGTTGTGGGTGAGTTAGAGCGTTGTGGGTGAGTTAGAGCGTTGTGGGTGAGTTAGAGCGTTGTGGTGAGTTAGAGCGTGGTGGGTGAGTTAGAGCGTTGTGGGTGAGTTAGGGCGTTGTGGGTGAGTTAGGGCGTTGTGGGTGAGTTATAGCGTTGTGGGTGACTGCATGATGAGTGCATGCTTGGTTAGTGCGTTTAGAGGAAGCTTGACCATTTGAACAACATTTTCCTTATTTTTCATAGCATCTCGTCTTCATAAATTTTGATATTCCTATGGATTTTTTACCAATTCACTATTCCCTTTACATCATAAACCGTGATCAATAATTCTATCTTTATAATGACATTTGTAAATTTCTACGGCCATTAAAACTTCTCATCGTTATTTATTGATATGAAGGTCGATGAAGATTTATATTCCTGACACAATTCAGTTATTATTTTACTTTCAAATGAGTGGCTAAGTGAGCAGCACTCTGCAGGTGCGGGTGGAGCAAGAGTTGGAGTTCCCGTGCGCGGGGTCTGCGGTGTACGGTCACTTCAACCCGCTGGGGGTGGTGGCCAAGGACTCCCCTCCCCCAGGCACCGGCACCCACGACCTTTACGAGCTGGGGGACCTGAGTGGCAAGTACGGCACCCTGGACGGCGCCTTCAGCACCAAAGGCTTCTACAACGACACCAACTTGCCGCTCTTCGGCCACACGTCCATCATGGGGCGGTCGGTGGTCATACACAAGGCCGAGGACGACTTCAGGTACTATATCGTTAAAGGCCTCGTATATCTTGTTAAAGGCATCGTGCAAATTCTTAATTATAACATGGAACCGTAATTGTTGATGTTCGTATTTAAGTTCCAAGCAAATAATTTGTTCATATCCCATTGTGGAATAAATGGTGGGCTCGGCCCTTTCAGTGAACTTTTAAATTGCCCAGTAAATTATACATTACCGATGCAGTCATTCCTGCAAATACGTACGAATTGAGATATTTAAACACAATCTAATATTATTCCGGAGCTTTACTAACCGTACTGGCGACATCAGAACTTGCCTAATAAATATCACACAGGAGCCATTCTGTGACTAAAACGTGTATAACAACATAACACACTGAGGTAACAAAATAACGCACACGTAGTAATATAACGCACATGTAGTGATATAACGCACAGGTAGTAACAGAATATGACACAGGTGGTTCTGCGGCAACATCGTGTGGGGCTACGCACCTTCAGAAGCCACGCAAGTGTCGGCCATCGCCTCCTTCCACCACCCTCAGGGCTACGCCTGGGGCTACATCAGGATGGTGGGATACGTGGAGGCTTAATATGGTCATGGTCTCATCCGGGTCTCTTGCTGATTGACTTCTGACTCGTTATCGATTTTTGTTTTGCATTGATTGATGCTAGTCTTGGAAATGATAAACTATTAAATTCATATCCGTGATTTCGAGAATATTTTGCAAATAGTTTTAATTAATATAACATGAACATTAACTCACAGAAGTCAACGCATCAATACAACCACCATAAACCTTATTAATCTGTATATAAATAGAATATATTTGTACAGAGGCAGCTCATCTACCACGACGGTTCCTTTGGGGAGACGTTCATCGAGGTGTCGCTCCGGCACCCTGGCGTCAACAACAGAAACTTGGTACGTGCGAACGAGGATCTTGGTACGCATCTTGGACGTAGCAGCCCCAGGCCTCGTCCGCCTTACTAAGGCGGACGTGGACTGCCTTAGTAAGGCCGACTGCCTTTGTGAAATACTAAAGCAGCCGCAGGCCACGATGCATCGCTGCCTTATTATTTCTCCCTCAGTAGGCAGGCTGTCCACGGCCACGGTCCCGAGGAGGGGGCAGTAGAACATAACTGCGGGGCATCTGTGTTACACTTCCGAGGAGTGGAACATAAAGCTCTTAGTTAGGCAGCTGACGTCCTCAGTTGGGTCAGCTGATGCCATTCGTTGTGTCATCCGATGCCCACAGTTGTACCAGCTACTGTATGATGATGTTGCTTTTTCTTGTTGTTTGTAGTGGTGGAGCAGAATCGGACGATCCGGAATATATATGTACACATTTCTCTATGAAACTTTAAGCTTTATAGAGAAATGTTCGAAGTGTTTTTATTAAGTAGATATTTTATTGTACGCTCCATACCTCATTCACTTTATTCGTTTGTTCAGCATAGTCATTTATTTATTGAGCATGAGAAAGTTTAATTAAAACTTGCTTTTCTGTACTTCTGAGTTTATGAACCCCTTTAAATTCCAAATTTTTCTGCTTCAAGCGCCCTGATGTGCTGGCTCGTTTTGCTTGGCCGATGTAACGCGCAGTACGTGTATCGCTCGATTTGTCTTGTTTTCTGCTGAATATTTTTTCTCCATGTTTTTAAGGATGATGATGTAATTCTACATATTATGATATAATTTCATGTAATTTAAGATATTATGATGTAATTTCATGTAACTCTACATGTTACTATGATGTAATTTCATAAAATACTAGATATTATATTATGATGTATTTTCATTGAATTCTACATAATATTACTGGAAGTTTGTTATCCTGCAGACGCGGGGCCACAACTGGTCGGTGTACGTGAACCCTGTGAGCGTCGACGCGTCGGTGAAGTTCTTCCAGAGCCGCTGCGTGGCGGGCGGCTACCGCTGGAACCCTTACCTCATCCACCTTGCCCAGCCCAACGCGGTCAGCCTCTACATATTTTCGTCCTATTTTTAATTTATTTATTTTATAAACTATCATAAAAAAACAACAAACCATTACCTCATTCACAGCGCCCAGCCAAACGGTGTCAGCTTCTCCAGATTTTGCTCTTTTTATTATTATTTTATTTCTAAATTATCATCAATTTTGCATGGTTTAATAGAACAATGATTAATCCATCATCTGAGGTTTGATATCGCTTTCAAGTTGCTGAGGGCACAGAAGTAAAAATATTCTAACGTCATGTTTTTGTGATATTTTGAACCCTCTCTGCCACTAGAGTTATGCTTAGTAATACTTAATATACTTTTATTTTATGCAATAGTTGCACGGCGTCATCTCCTGTTCCTGCTCATTGTCCACAGTGTTCCTTGTGCTGTGTTCAGGTGGAGTTCTACGACTGTTCCCTGTGCTATGTTCAGGTGGAGTTCTACGACTGTTCCTTGTGCTATGTTCAGGTGGAGTTCTACGACTGTTTCTTGTGCTGTGTTCAGGTGGAGTTCTACGACAAGGAATGTACCCCCGAGTTCCCCCTGAGGTGCGAGGTGGGGGACTTGTCAGGGCGCCTGGGGACCATAGATCTGGGGGACAAGAAGCAGGTCTTCGTAGACAGCAACCTCCCCCTCGGTGGGTGCCCCTCACGCGTGTCAATCTAAATTACATGAAATAGACTATATAACTAAAATATAATAATATTCTCTTGAATTTATTTAACCATATGAATATAATCCTAACAATTCAGAGTCACAAATACGACACGAGTTGAGCATTCGATATGTGTTAATGGGTAGTTCATATATCATTCATAGCCTTATTTAATGATTACCGTTATTTCATACATTATAAATAGCCTTATTTAATCACTGCGTCATACATCACAGTCTGAATTAATTGCTCTCAATTATTTTATTCCTTTTAAATTTCTTCCCTCTTTTCGATTTTGAATCAATAGTATTTAGATAAGTAAACTTTCACTAAATATCGAATATATTTTACATTGTATCTCAAAAAACTCTATTTTAATATCTAATACCTTAATTTAACGACAAAAAAATAATTTTCTCCAATACATGAAGTTGTTCATTGGTTTATTTGCAAAATTAAGTTAATGATTATAGTAAGTAAGACTTGTCATGCGCGCAGCGGGCGAGCAGAGCGCCATGCGCAGGTCTATCGTGATCCACAACGAGCGCGGGCGCGTCGAGCGCTACGCCTGCGCCAACATCGAACCTGACGACGACATCGTCAAGTGGGCCAACGTCAGGAAGACGCCGCGCTTCTCCCCGTCAGTGTCACGTGCTTTGCTGACGAGCGTTGTACATAACGTTATACGCCACGTACATAACGTTATACGCCATGTACATAATGTTATACGCCATGTACATAACGTTATACGCCACGTACATAACGTTATACGCCACGTACATAACGTTATACGCCATGTACATAATGTTATACGCCATGTACATAACGTTATACGCCACGTACACAACGTTATAACGCTCAGAGTATATGAAGTCATAACGCTAAGTGATTCATATAATATTAAGTCATAACGCTGAGTGCTTCGTAGCACGTGAATTAAGTCATAACGCTGAAATATTCGTTGAGAATAATACTACTGTCACTATATCATGCTACTACTCAACACTACTGTCACTATATCATGCTACTACTCAACACTGCTGTTCCCCCAGAATAAGCTTCATGAACACCATGCGTGAGGTGCTGGCGTGCCCCGAGTGGTACCTGCAGATGGACCTCAGCACCGTCACCCAGTCCGAGGACGGCGAGTGTGTGAGCTTCCTGGTGCACTTCATGGGTGAGTTGTTCACCCAGCGTGTGAGCTTCTTGGTGCACTTCATGGGTGAGTTGTTCACCCAGCGTGTGAGCTTCGTGAACTTCATGGGTGAGTTGTTCACCCAGCGTCACCCAGTGTGTGAGCCTGTCTCTTATACACATCTAGATGTGTATAAGAGACAGCTTCATGGGTGAGTTTTTCACTCAGCGTCACCCAGTGTGTGTGCTTCCTGGTGCACTTCATGGGTGAGTTCTTCACCCAGCGTCACCCCTGTCTCTTATACACATCTAGATGTGTATAAGAGACAGGCGTCACCCAGTGTGTGAGCTTCCTGGTGCACTTCATGGGTGAGTTGTTCACCCAGCGTCACCCAGTGTGTGAGCTTCCTGGTGCACTTCATGGGTGAGTTTTTCACCCAGCGTCACCCAGTGTGTGAGATTCCTGGCAAATTGACCCCCAGTGAACAAAGAGACGCTGTGGAGGCCGTCTTATTTGTTCAGCGTACGTCGATGTTGTATTGTTAGTGCAGCCCTCACTCTCAGATGACCCACGTTTCCGTGATTTTAAAAGTGATTCCATGGACGCACAAGCACCTAAATTTTCACAAACATTGTTTTTTAACACTGATTCTTATCTTAATTTAACTCATCGCAAAACTTTTGGCTAACTGACATGCGTTCTTGTCTGGCCAGCACGCTCGAAAATATGCACCAGCGGCAAATTTGTACTAAGCTTGACTACCCCTGAATTGATCACCGATGACACTCCTCATGCATAACGATCAATAATGATTTTTGAGCATCAGTTTTCAGGTCAAGGATGTGATATTTGCTCCATTATCGTACAACTTGCCATGTATGAAATAATTTTAAATGTGTAGGCCCAAAAACTTGCAATACATAAAACAATTCTGGATGTGTAGGCCCGAAGGCGCGTGACTTGGAGCAGGACTTCACACGTCTGCTGTCGGGGGCCGTGCTCAGCGAACCAACCATCCGCATGCTGGGGGTTCCTCTGGACGAGAAACGCAAGAAGAAAGTCTCGTACAAATCCTGCGGTGGCTTCGACGAGGAGGATCAACTTACCAAGGAGAACGAAAGTGAGTCATGCCTAGACAAGTTTGTTGGATTCAAATTCATTATTTCTGTCATAAAATGGTATTCATTGACAGCCAAGTTCAATAATCGATACCAGTATTCAAGTATTCTTTCGTCAATATTAACTGTTACTCAAGTGCAGGTTCAGAAGAAAAGATCAATGGTTGAAGACACTTAGATTCATCACATTCATCATCTTGCATATGTTGACGATATTTGCAGACATTATGTCGCTCGCGTCTTATTTACTTTAGTAGTTTATCATATTCTCCGACTTGGCCCACAGGTCCGTGGTGGACGGTCTTCGGTGCCTCCTCCAGCCATGGTGCTGTGGCCCTGCCCGCCCCTCTCCTGCCCCTTGTCCTCACGTTTATTAATCTTCTGCTGTGGATTAGGTTAATTTAATAAATGCAATTATACTTATTACGAGTCTCTTTTAAACTAGGGAATGTTTGACCATATCGATGGTCATCTTAACTATCGGCTTCGTTCCGTGTCAACAAGATGGAATAACATTAAAAAAAAAATCAGTTATTCTAACTGTTAAAATCAGTTACGTTAACGTGATGCTTCAGTTTACAGAGTCTTGTGATGTACATTGTAAACGTATACTGCAGTGTATAGAAATGTATATGCCTACTGCGCAATCATTGTACAGATTATTCTACATCTTATAGAAGACATAGTCATAACTTATCATCTTGTTTTAGCCCTGAGATGATTTAAAAAGCTCTCTCTGATGAGAAAGGATTTCTCATTTTTCCTTAAAATTGGGGGTAAAAAACTGTTAAATATGAACTAAGTTTTTGAGCGAAACAAAATAAACGATACACATGAGAGATTACTTTTAAAGTTAATCGAGACTCAAATGAGTTCTAAACCATTACGCTTGTAAATTACGTCGCCCCTATATTTGATCTCCGTACCTGCTATACAAGACATCAACCCTTGCAGCATCTCCTCTGTTTTGAGCAGTCAGCTTTTTAAATGTAATATTCATGACATTCATAATAACTTTTAACTGTTCCATTTTCTGAGCTGTTTATACTGTCATTCTTACAGTTGCAACAAAATGATATGATATTGCTTCGTCGTAGTCCTACCAATTTTGATCCTGTATGCAGATTATAGGAATATAATCTTGATTATCTGTACCCATGCATCCGCTAGGATTGTCAGCTCAACGGTTAGGCTTGCCATGTAACCTCCCGTTAGTGAGGCAGCGTAGGGTATCGTTCACAGAATCATAATTACTCGCTGTTGAATGGTATATGCAAGATAGAAATTAATCATGTAATGCCATTTGTTTTATCTCGATCCCACCTGCTATTGAATTCATGCCCCAATCATAGTCACAATTTCTATTGAACCTCGTAATCTTGATCATGATTTTCTACATTTTTATATCCCAAATACTGCTCTTTAAATTTAAACTAGCAACGTATTTTCAACTAAATATATTCAATTGGATTATAGTGTTCTTTAATTTTTCAATACCCGCGATTTATCATGACATGACAATCACAATATTACAATGCAGTTTCAGTACTAAGATGCAAACGCAATAATCAACAACTCCATCGTTTTTGGGGGAAATGACTTCTTATAGTAGAGCGACAATTGAGAAAATTAATTAAGTCTCAGACACGTGCACGTTCTGATCTTTGCAACTCGTCAGCGACTGTTGACTCGTCAGCGACTGTTGACTCGTCAGCGACTGTTGACTCGTCAGCGACTGTTGACGAGGAAAGCTAAGGAGAGACGCGCGCGTGGTCCGACACAAGTTTTTGCGGGCAGGAGTACGGCGGCGCACGAAAGAAACGCCGCTCACGGCCAGCCGCTTTAAAGACATCCGCGTACAAAACCTAACCGCTATCGGATTCTCAACAGCTGGTGCGATTACCTTAAGTTAGTGTGTGATCGTAATTTGAGGTTTGGAGCTGCTGTTAGGAAAATAAAATCGCAAATTATACTATCTCAATGTGTAGCATACTCGTACCAGAACACATATAATAATATTTCCGCCTATACAAGAGGAGGGAACATTTATTTCACTAATCACATGATATTGCGACTAATCAAATAATAAAAATAATTACAACCCAATGGCCACTCACTCTCAAAGTTGCACTCGTTCTCATTCACTGCTCCACTTAGCGCACTAAGTTCATTCAATAAAAGTGCCAAATTCAGCATCGTTAAAATAACGTCCATGCCTATTAAGCTGCGACAGTGATTTTGTCGCCGGATGTCAATAGAAGGGGGCAATTAAATAAACAACTTAGGAAAAGTTGCTAGCGATATCGAAGCATCTTCGTAGCAATTTGGTATTCAAGCATTACAAATCGTAGTTCCGACCAGAACTAGACGTTTTTTATCAACAAGCGGCGAGTTAAGTGCAATCTCTGCTACATTAAGTGCTATATATGCTGAGTGGCGACTTGTGTGTTCTTTGGTGGCAGGTTATAGCACTGCCAATCGATATGACCTCAGGGTTCGTACCATCTCAAATTTTTCAGCTTCCTTGAAAGAGTTCCGTTTGCCGACAACGTGTAGACAAGTCTTCCCGTTTCTCTACCTTTTTTACGCTTCCAGGTGACAAACTTTAATAAAAATGGCCGTCATTGTTGATGACAGTAGCTGGGCGTTGAAAACTCTTATTCTTCCTATTGAGAGAGAGTGAGAAAGGAGAGAGATCGTTTCAAAATCTCTCTCGCTCATTCATCCATATGCTTTTTCAAAAAATTATTGCATCTTCTATCCGACGTCAATTTGAATGAGCATGAATTATTTTATAGTGTAGTAGTTTTTAAGCTAAAAACCTAGACATTAATGATAATTTTAACATCGTTTGTCCTCACGCAACTGTGAGTAATTATAGGTTTGGCTCACACAATCGGACAAATAAATATATAATAAATTCAGCTGATATTTATACAAATTGATATGAAATGTTCAATTGGTATTGATTGGGCCGGTTGTAGAAGGAAGCTGAATTCAAATTCTTGTATACTGTAGTATATAGATCCAGGATGAATTAGGAGTTTACAATTTTGGCAGATTGATGGAATCTATGAAGTGGTTGCGGTATTTAAAATTTTCATGTGGCCCCGACGAGTCCCCGATACTGGAAGGAAAATATTTCTACTCAATAAAAATGAATCAATCGAATAATAAGTATCTGACAACCTACTCTAAATTATGAATCAAATAATGACATAAATAAATACAGACCTAAGATTTTGGTGCATCTCAGTGTTTAATGCAGTTAGGAGGCATAATATGAAAAATAGAGGAAATCAGATGAAGGAATGTACTCCAGTTGGAAAATAGAAAAGGACAGTTGGAGGCTTGACGTTGGAAATTTGAGATAAAGATATTGAAACGCAGGTCACAGCTAAAGAAACAAGTTCCTCGGCCTATATATAGCAGAGACCTCTTTCACTTGGTTCGAAATTTGATGTATTAATAATTGATCGTTGAATTGCCCAGAGCACCGTAGAAAAACTTGAATACAGAGCGTAAATAAGTAATATGAAAAAAAAAACATTCACGCCAACAAAAAGATAGGGAAAAAGCAGCCAGGAAGACGTTTAGAACTTCTGAATCTCCCGATGCTTCTCCAGCTGAAGTCGCTGTATACTTGAGAGTTGAAATGAATAACTGAGAATTTATGCAGATTTGAGATAAAGAACGGTACGAGATCGGATGACTTTATAATATGGGAGCTGATAAAGGAATGCTGATCCTAGCCGATACTTGCTACCTACTTAAACTGCAAAAAAAAACTGAATACAACACAAACAAAAAACAACATCAAGCTAACAAATTTTACGAAGAACTGCAAATAATATCAATGGTGGGAAAAATTTCCAACACAACATATCAAATGGAAGAAAATAACTGCAAAACATTCGCATCACCAAGGCTCTAAGATATTACGTTCACACAAACATAATCCATGCCACGGTATTTTTTTAAATCCTTCAGCTGGGAAAGTTTCATTCTAAAGATATATATTTAATTCTTTCGACATTAAAATTCTTTGATCGATGTTGTGGCGCTGCTGTTTGAACTTCTTATGCGACAAGGAACGATTTTCTCACGAAAATAAGCATTCAGATGTCTGACCAAGTGCATATAAACATCAAAACAAGAATTTCAGGAATCCAATCTCCATCGTACGTATCGCCGCCACCCAAGTCTGCTAACGACGCCGGTCTGACGTGCGCTCTAAAACAACTGAAACTTCTGCAACGTGACGCCGTATCCGCAGTTGCAGCTCCGATATAAAGCCGGTCTCATCGCCGCATTTCACAGTCGCGCAAAGCGTGCGTAAGAGTGCACAGCAATTCAGTCGAATCGCTGATACTGAGTGTCGTATTTCTAGGTCACTGAAAACTGAATAACTCGTGCAATGACGTGAGGTCGGCGTGTCTTTGCACGTCCTTAAAAGTGTCACTTGAAAATTTGGGATTGGGAACTCCACGTCCAAGATTATAAAATAATATTTATTGCTGAAGCGCGACTGAAATAGGGTTTTCTTCGCTTCCTCGAAACTAACTAGAAGTATTGCCCATCATGCAGGTGAGTGGTAATGTTATGCAGTTGTTGAATTCCATACTCATCCATTTTACAAAAAATTACTAATGTAATTATGAAATGCAAAAATTATCAGTAAGAAACTATATTAAATTTACATATAGAAAAAGACTAGCGTCTACCATGTTCCTTAGGCATGAATTCTAACAAACTAATACATTGGCCCGGTATTGATGTAAATATTGGTGACCCAATGTTCACTAGTACCAGTAGGGTAACCTATTGAAGAATTATGCCATTATTTATTGTATTAAAACAAATATCATCACATTGCAAATAATAAAATGATTCGATATCTTGTACGGTTTCTAAACCAGCATTTCAGATGTTAAACGTCATCCGAACATCTCTCAAAGTGCAAAATTTGATGCGCTAAACGTGATCTAAGCATCACTTTCGCCGCAACGTTTCTTTCATTCAATGCATTTTTTTCGGCGCAACGTTTGTTGCGTTAAACGTGAAACATGCATCTCCCTCAGTGCAACTTTTTTTTTAACATGGTCCGTGCTTTTGTTTCGACGCAACGTTTTTTTTCATTGAACGTGATCCATGCAGTCTCTCAACGCAATTTATTGTTGCGTTAAACATGATCCTTGCATCTCCCTCAGCGCAACGCTTTTTTTCGCTGAACGCGATCCATGCATCTCTTTCGACGCAACGTTTGTTGCATTACCGGTCATCATGAATCTCTCTGGGCACAACGTTTGTTGTGATAACGGTCATCATGAATCTCTCTGGGCACAACGTTTGTTGTGATAACATGTCGCCAAGCAAAAACGATCACACGAGAGTAGCGCGGCTGCGAACAGCAGGCCGTGATAGTAACTTTTATAGTAATACGTATACGAAGTTACTTCTTTATCGTATATATCGCCGCCACCCAAGTCTGGTAACGACACCGGTCTGACGTGCATTATAGTAACATCATATAACTGTTATTGTAAATATTTCAGCGAACCTTTTGTTAGCTTAGTTTTTAATAATTAATAATAATTAATTTTTAATAATAATAATTAATTTTTATGCGCTCCTATGATTTACTTGTTTATCCGACCTTTAGAGTGTAAAAGCTAGTCGACGACGTATCAAATAGTTTCGTGTCAGATCAGTTGTTCGTAGCCCGCGTCGAAACTGCCCACAATATTTCGGTGCGTTGAGTTATGCTTTCTTTTTACTTGTTTATAGTTTTGATGATTATTTGTTATATTTGAATATTTTAAGCATACATTGAAGTTTATAGGGTTAATATATTTGTGTTTGTTCTTACAGATACAATTTTTCATTCAATAAAAAGGAAATTTGTTGTTGAAACCGTGGTTATCCTAAAACCTGAACGCGGACTTACGGCAACCCAAACTCAAAAACGGAAAGCGTTTTTTACAGTTATAGTAACTGTTATAGNGTTGTGATAACGGTCATCATGCATCTCTTTCGACGCAACGTTTGTTGCGTTAACGGCCATCATGAATCTCTCTGGGCACAACGTTTGTTGTGATAACATGTCGCCAAGCAAAAACGATCACATGAGAGTAGCGCGGCTGCGAACAGCAGGCCGTGATAGTAACTTTTATAGTAATACGAATACGAAGTTACTTCTTTATCGTATATATCGCCGCTACAAAAATCTGGTAACGACACCGGTTTGACGTGCATTATAGTAGCATCATATAACTGTTATATTAACTGTTATAGTAACTGTTATAGTAACTTCAGCTGTAACTGCATGAAGCAAATACTAGTGTAAACTGATGATAAATCAGTTAATCGTAATTCGTTTTCGTTATTTCTAATCCGCAAAATTCGTGACTATTAAATCCTAATAATATTTTCATTACAAGGCGACTGAAAGTTCGTTTTGTGATTAATAATATAAAATGAAAAAAATGCAGATAAGTCAGTTGAACTTATCAACAGCAAACTTTCGATTACATTTTTGCTGTGAAAAGCAGCTAGCTCGTGCACTGCAGACCGAGAACTGAGATAACTACCAGCCCGGCGTTGCAGTCGCCGGAACGCACGTCATTCATAAGAATATATTACATATTCACTTACCGTTAACTGATGATAATTCGTTGGTTATATGATAATTCAAGTAATCATTCAATTTGAAAGATGAATTTTCTTTTATAGTGACGCCGGTTCCTCTCTGACGATATATATACGTTAAATTTTCTTGTAATACATATTTATTCCTCATTTTTAATACTTGACGAATTATTTTCCTGAATGCCTCTCAATGGTAGTACCCCAAAATTGTCTAATTATTAATGAAACTTATTCTCTTCGTAATTTTGATTGTAAAGAAGTAAGAGAATCCGAGCAGCATGAATGATAACAGTAGGAATTGAAGTAGGAAAGCTTCAATTCTTAATTATAGATTAGATAATTATAGATTATAGATAGAATGCAGTCCATCATGTGCATAACTATGTCGGCCAAGAGAGCAAGCATAAGTAGATGAATGCGAAAGAAACAAATTAAATATACGCCATGATCGCTGGCTTGGCAATGAGAGGAGCCAATGCATGAGATCAGCGCAACGTCTAGGCAACTCCAAGCGTTATAACCTCGCATAACACTAACAGCGTTAATGCTCAGAACGTTAATTGGAGACGTTCCAGCTCGAAAAACGTTGTTTGATCGATAAGACGATTTTTCAAAGAGCCAGAGCATTTACATTCCTTGCACTAACCACTGAAGCTTGAGTGTTGCTCATTCAAGTTCACTAAATAGAGTTTGTACAGCGCTATATAGGCGGGTGAAGACACACGACGGAAGGCGGCGCTAGGCCGATGTTTTATTTTTAGCATCCCGTTACACTTTTCTATGTGCACTTGGCTGCGTGCATCACACTTGTCGCTTTACATTCAATTCCATGTACTGAAGTCCGTAATCAACATTAATTTGATGTCTGTAATCATTATTAATTCATAATTCTGAGTCTGTAACCCATTGAATACGAAGTCAGCAATCAACATAAATTTTAAAACCGAAATTAAAAATTAATAAAAATTAATGGTCATGATTATTTCCATGATCTGAATTTTTAGATTAATTCTCCTTCAAATGAAATTTTTACAGCAGAACCTAGAACATACAGTTAAAAATTCTACCAAATTCATGCCAATTAATGCTCAATTAAAATAACAGAGAAAATAAATCACCGGTTTCTTTCTGCAGACGTAGAAGGTTGCGCATGAATGTCACATTAACATTCCAAGCCACGTTCCATTGACTTTCATATGCTTTTCTCAATTCCTGCAGACTTGCATTGGCCTCCACACAAAATGTATATAAGAATTAGATGGTTTGTTGTGAGTAGTAAAACTTTCTCACCCCAAACAATATCTAGCGTGATGCATTATGAAGAATTTGAGGGCTTTCTAAACGTGTTGTGGCAGAACCAGTGCGATCGTGACCGCGGCTGCAATATCTGCTCTATCAGGAACCATGAAAATAATATGGCGATATTCATACAAGCTTTACGGCTGCAGTAGTCGCTATGCCTAGGAGACATTGACCTTGCCTACATGTTGCTTTCTTTATTTTCTGTCGCCAATATATAGCCTCAGATTACCGAGGGATTAATACTATAATGTGTACGAGATTTTCATGTTCCATATCAGCATACGGTTTCAGGGGATCTGAAATAATTGATTTATTTTACGTACTTACACGATTTATTTGTTCATCGTCATTTTAGTGGGATTTATTAGAAATGCTGTTGACATCATTAAAATAAAAGCTTTTTAGACGATATTTATGGCGTTATATAAACATCGCTCAGTAAACCTATTTAAGCGCTAACCTTTCTAAACGAATAACTTAATTATCAATACAGTCGTCTTCAATATCCAGACCATCAAGCCCATTCTTCCGCATCTTAAACGTGCGCGTGAAGACTCTTATGTTTCTTCTTGAGATTGCAGATTGCACGGTGAAAGTTCAATTAATGTTTCGTGACCAGCCAAAAGTCCGGTGCTTTATTACATTAAACCAACACGTCCATCACAACAATCCTATCACTTTGGAAATGAAATGCCGGAGCGCGAGGCTTCCTCCGCTGCGGACCTCGCGCGTCGCCGCCGCTGCCGGGTTGCTCTCCCAAGTCCGTACGTGCAACCATATCAATCACTCTATAATTTCCAACGAGAACTGCCGGTCTTGCAGATAGAAATTAAAATAGAATGCGTTCTGTAATCAATTTGTTCGAGAAAGAAATTAGCACAATTGCATCGTAATTACGTTGAAAAGTGAAGTGTTCAGTCACGGTAGTCGCTTCAGCATCTTTAGCACAATTGTTGATTAAACATATAATATTATAATAACAATGATTGTAACAATAAATTTTTCGTGCATGATTGATCATGCAAGTAATGCATCAAATGAATATAAAATTGAAATAAAAGTATATTTTCTTATTGGCGAAAAGAAGGTATAACATGATCATCATCCATTTCCATTTTTCCATTTCCATTTTCGGGCCGTCGATCCCCGTCAGGGACTTTCCCCCCCCCCCCAGGGTCCCACACCAGGCACGCCCTCTGGTGCCTCGCCATATTGGCGACCGACAGCACCCTGTTGCACCCCGGGCACTGAGCAACCCTCCCCCTGTCTCTTATACACATCTAGATGTGTATAAGAGACAGGTCATCATGAATCTCTCTGNATACACATCTAGATGTGTATAAGAGACAGTCTATACATAATATAAATCACTTCTCCTGTTCAGTTTGTGTACTTACATACATTAAAATACGATTTTTCAAGTGTACGAATATTTATTTCCCCCCACTGTATATAGCACCTAAATACATCTAATATTTTAATGATACGAGTACTTTTATACGTCTTAACATATCATTCTCCGAAGACACCAGCAGTCTGAATGATTGGTTTTCTTATTGGGCTGTGCGACGAGTATCGATAGTTAATCATTATCTCTAGCATTTAAATTATTTAACAATAAACTATCTTTCTTTCCA